CAGACCCGAGATCTTAAAACGAGCCATAGATCATCAGAAACGGATGGGAAATGGCTGAGATACGGTCAAATTATTATTTTAACCATATCTTAGTCATTTCTTATCCATTTTCGATAGTCTGTCCAAAGTCCAGTTCGGAACTTTGAGAACTTGGTCCGAACCTGGTTCGAACTTCAAAGTTTGGGTTCAAGTTCGGCCAAAGGCCAAAAAGTTTGAACTTTTAGGTTCACAGGCAATTTTACCCGAACTTTTTTAAAAAATTCAGCCCAAAATTGCCCATAAAAGGCAATTTTTAAGCAAAAGTTTGGTTCAGAACTCCGAACTTTAGGTTCGGACCTGAACTTGACCCGAACTTGAACCGAACTGAACTTTGGACAGTCTAGCATGTACTTACCCGAAATCTTTGATGAGAACTGTATCCTAGCTCTGAATACTACTCTTTTGTTACATTTTCTAAATACAGCAGTAAAGGTGATTACGGCGGAGCCTTATTTAAGCCGAGTCTCCGCCATGCATGTGCATTGGCCCGTATACTAGTTATGTTGTCAAAAATAGGCAAAGGGTCAGAGAACAACTCTCTGGGAACTTGCAATTTGTCATAGGCGGCGGTGGCATCCCAATCGGCAGCTTTGTGAAGGAAAGCGCTAAGCACTAGAGTTAATGACGGATGTAACGCAAGCTAAGAAGGGAAACTCACCCCGCAATGCCCACTATAAACCCCAGGACTCATGGAAAGTGTGCGTAGAATGTGGTAAAAATACCTGTGAAACATGTACAAAGTATGCGTAATTTCTATACTATCCATTATCCGTATACTTTTTATGAGCAAAATGTCCAAATTATCCGGAGCTCTTTGTGTAAACAGGTGTAAAGCATCCGTTGCAAGGCAAAGTATGCGTGAACCAGAGTACTTTGTATCAGTTGGTGGGTTTACAGTGGCCGTTACACATAGCTTTGACGTCGCGGGTCTCTGCGCTGACAAGATAGCCGTCCAAATCAACAAGAACAGTAAGAAGATGTCCATGGACTCGAGAAGACGCAATCATCTTTTGTAAGGTCAGATTTGCGTTACCCTGAAAGTGAATTTCATGGAATGGCAACTTTACAAAAGGGATACATGGACGTACACTGAACGACATCTGCTCGAAAATGCACCCAGTCAGAATTTCGGCACTTATTCCTCGGCACTTTAGTTGGAAATAAAGGAAATCAAGTGGCAAGGCCGAGTTGGTGAGGTACATTGTAGCGTTGACGGCGGTAGGCTCGTATTTGTGACCCGGTGGTGCAAGCACTGGAACTGGCACTAGCATTGGGTAAGGTTTGTCCGCCGGAATTAACAAACCCTGGACATAGGCACATGGAACACTCTACAATGAATACATAAATCTCACTTATGCAGTAATCACGACATTGAGATAGTCTTACCTCGATATACTTTCTCACAGCTTCAATAGCCAATTTGGAGGACGAGTGTGCCATGGCAGTTATCTACTGGAAGTGGCAGAGGAAACCACATTATATACGGCGTAAAGGCAAATGTCTCTTAATAATTAATGAATTGTGTCGTTTTCAGACTCATAATGTCGTTGAGAGGATTTGAGAAGAGATAGGCGCTGCTGGCCTGTTACTGTTGACCGAGGGTAGAAGATCGTAGTGTGAAGGTGTTCTCGCTCTTGCATGATTGAGTGAAGAGGTTAGATCGAGATAACCTGCCAGGAGTAGTCGCTAATGAAGGGTGGCAAAGGACACTGACGCTTGCTGGGTGTACTCAACACGGCTATTGACAGGTATCTTGATGGACATGATAAAGGAGGGGTAACAATCACAGGCTGTGAAAGAAATGTTCTGAACGCTCTACAAAAGGGAACAGAAGTTGAGTCTAGTGGAGACCACATAGCAGCAATGAACAGACACTACGACCAAGACAGTGCTTCCATAGCATTGCAGGAGCAGGCTTTGGCTTGCGGTCAAGACCAGCTTCCGGGATTCCATTTAGGGGTCCGCAATGTAGTAAGTATCCACGTCAGTCGAGATTTAGAAAGGTGTTCATTGTTATTCAGAATGACATCCTAGAAACCATTCATACACAGTGGATTGCAGCGGATAATACCTGGAGGCTGCTCCAACACAACCAGAAGACCTCAGGTACTGAACTAGAGGCTGTTTGGCACCTCCACGGTATTCTTGTGAAGAGGGATCTTCCCCCGTTCACTCCCAGTCATGTGTAAGAATAACAGACGCCCAATTCTGCTATAATGACAGAGCTAACAAAAATGCCCGTAATCTCTAGTGTCAATTTAAAGAACAAAGCGAGATTTTTGCAGCAAGGCGTTGCGATCAGCGGCTTTGGCACAGCAATCTTCGATAAAGTTGCCACCGCCATTGGCAATATCTCCGCGCATTTTTCTCGATATGTCGGGGTTAACGACCTATTGCCGTCTGATATTGTAGGCAGAGGGTTGGGAGGCACCGTCATCCACGCCTCAAACCAGTACTTAACCCCGAGGTCTTCAGATCTGAACGGGGAAACCTTAGATCCAGGAAAAGATGTGGAGTCTGACAGGAATTCCTGGTTCTTGCATGCATGAAAGCAGGAGAAAACGAAATTCATCTTTGTTTTTCATGGCACTTGGGCAAGTGTCGTGAACAGCTGGTACGACCCCTATTTTCATTTTCATCTTATCTTATCTGTGTCCGCATCTTATCTTTCCTGTTACCCCTATTTCGTATCTTTATTCTCGTCTATGGACTCTTTCTCTCATGGAACACTGCCCCGTTTTGCCCTATTGTTACGCACTGCCTCGCATTGCTTTTCGACTCATTCTGACGTCTTTTTTACTTCATTATTGTTTCATCCTTGTTCTTCGCGCAGCCTTGTGACTATCTTTTATTGTTCTTCTGTCTTTCACCATTTGCTCGTCATCTTGACTCATCGTGGCTATGTAACTGGTAGAATAGGTATATAAGCTAGGTAGTTCGCTCTGTATTTCCTTAGCTTGACCTCTTTCGTCATTCATCGCTCTAGTCTTCACTCCAAACCGTCGCTCATAGCTCTAAGCTCTTTCGTCACTTTCACCACTCCTCGTCTCTGGTCTTAGTTTTGGTTTAGTGATTGCTCTTTCGCACATTAAGTCAAGCTACCCCTGTG